CATGGTGTGAGTAACCCTCAGCTCTCAGGTGACTCCCACTCTGACCGAGTCTTCTCTTTGCTCTCCAATCTGTGCTTTATTCTTATTCTGTGGAGTACCCATAATTTCATTGTACATTGACAATAAAGGGCTATTCTATTCTATTCTATTCTATTCTATTCTATTCTATTCTATTCTAGGTTGCACTGGTCACATCTGCCTCTTAACACAGAATGTAAATCTTACCAACACATGTTCCTATGAACTCAAACTTCGTGGAGCTTCTTTACTTACTGCACACCTGAAATAAATGAGTTGACATGATGAACCCCTCTGAAGTTTTGAGATAAGAAATTTGCTTTTTTGAATGTGAAGCCAACTTACAAATGTTACAGGACTAAACTTCAAATCTTCACAGTATCAGTCAGAACTTTGTTATCCTCATTGAATAAACTTCTAAAGTTGAGACTGTCCTGATGAAATTTGGACAAACCTGTTTTACAGTTTCCAACGGCTGACAGGTCGGCTTTTGTACTCTGGGAAAAACATCTTACCTGAGGAGTTCTGACAAAGCCCCGCCCCCCACTGACTCACTTGAAAGAAACTAGGAAACACCTTGCTATTGTTCCTGACTAAAGAGACACATACACCATCAGACCAAAGTACCAGCTTCCTCTGAGCGAGTCCAGCTGCAGGACACAAAGACAACAACAGCCACACTGAAAGTAAGTTAGTCTAAACATACGACTCAGAGGACGTTTCAGTGAAGAGGAGAAGGAGAACCAGGACTGACTGTACTTCCTGTTTTCAGCTTCATTCACAAACTCGATGGCTTCCGGATCAGACAAGGATCTTAACTGCTCGGTGTGTCAGAACATCTTCTCAGATCCTGTTGTTCTGTCATGTGGCCACAGCTTCTGTACAGACTGTCTGAAGAGCTGGTGGAGAGCAGACTCAACACACAAGTGTCCAGTTTGCAGGAGAAGATCTTCAAGGGACGATCCACCTCGTAACCTGGCTTTAAAGAACCTGTGTGAGTCCTTCCTACAGCAGAGAGATCAGCGAGCTTCAGAGGATCTCTGCAGTCTGCACTCTGAGAAACTCAGACTCTTCTGTTTGGACCATCAGCAGCCAGTGTGTGTCGTCTGCAGAGACTCTGACAAACACAACAAGCACAGATTCAGACCCATCGATGAAGCTGCACGACAACACAAGCACAAGCTTCGGGAAGCTCTGGAGCCCGTAAAGAAGAAGTTAAAGGTCTGTGAAGAAGTCAAAGTGAAGTTTGACCAAACAGCAGAACACATTAAGGCCCAGGCCCGACGCACAGGGAGGCAGATTAAGGAGCAGTTTAAGAAACTTCACCAGTTTCTAGAAGGAGAAGAGGAGGCCAAGCTGGCTGCACTGAGGGAGGAAGAGGAGCAGAGGAGAGGGAGGATGGAGGAGAGGGTGGAGGCTCTGAGCAGAGAGATAGCAGCTCTTTCAGACACAGTCAGAGCCACAGAGGAGGAGCTGAGAGCTGGAGACGTCTCGTTCCTGCACAACTACAAGGCTGCAGTGGAAAGAGTCCAGCACTGCCCCCTGCTGGATGATCCACAGCTGCCCTCAGGAGCTCTGATAGACCAGGCGAAACACCTGGGCAACCTGACCTTCAACATCTGGAACAAGATGAAGGACTTGGTGTCCTACACGCCTGCGATCCTGGACCCTAACACCGCTCACCCTGAAGTCCTCCTGTCTGAAGATCTGAGCAGCTTTAGAACAGGAGAGAGGCAGCAGCTTCCTGATAATCCCGAGAGGTTTGATGGAGACAGCTGTGCTGTCCTGGGCTCTGAAGGCTTTAAGTCAGGGACTCACAGCTGGGACGTTCAGGTTGGAGACAGCAAACTGTGGATAACAGGTGTGTCAGCAGAGTCCTGTCAGAGAAAGGGACACATACAATCTGGATTTCTGGAAATAGGGCATCAAAATGATCGATATTATGAATGGGCACCACCAGCTCCGGTGTCTTTTCTCCCAGTAAGGAGGAAGCTCCAGAGGATCAGAGTGACTCTGGACTGGGACGGAGGGAAGCTGTCGTTCTCTGATCTTGACACTGACACACACGTACACACCTTCACACACACCTTCACTGAGAGGATGTTTCCTCTTGTTGAAGGTGACTGTAAGTATTGCACCACAGTGCAGGTGTTACCGATGAAGGTGTGTGTGACAAAACAGGCTCCCGACTTTCCTGCTAAAGTGAGGAATTCAAAACAGCCAATTTAAGACGTGATGATAAATTTGGATTTAATCTGTTTGGTTTTGGGCTTTTTAGTTGTCTTCTGGTTCTGTGTTTCCTCTTCCCCTCTATAGAGTTGTTAACTGCATCTTAAGCACAAAGGTCACTCTTTGAGGATGCCAATGTTCACATTTTGGACAGAGAGGACAGATGGTTTGAAAGAGGAGTGAAAGAAGCATCTATGTCCACTGTGAGCGACCATCTTTGAACAGAGGCGGGGTTTACGACACCAACTCTCTGCCATCTATAATCCAGTTTTGAGATCCCTCCCAGACGCCTTAACGCCCACTCACATCCTGGGCCATCTGACCTCAGGAATTCCATGATAAGGTGGGGCCAGGTTTCACAATGAACTCACCCGAAACTCTGGCTGATTGGGACCCACACCCAGTTTCACACCTTGGCTCAGGTCGATTAGAGGATCATCAGGGGTCCTTTTGTCCCTCTGTGGGGGGAAACTCCCACTAGGTTTATATCTGGGACTCTCCACCATTTGACCTTAGAACTGAAGAAGCTTCTCGGATGAGAGGTGAAACGTCTTCAAGAACTTAAAGAAGTCCAGACGCTTTTCTTTGCAAGCTCCTTTGACTATGTCTTCTAATGATGCTGCCTAAGGGAAGCATGTATAATGTAAACAGAATTGGTCCTAGCACTGAACCCTGTGGAACTCCATAATTAACCTCAGTGTGTGAAGAGGACTCTCCATTTACATGCACAAACTGGAGTCTATTAGATAGATATGAACAAACCACTGCAGTGCAGTACCTGTAATACCTACAGCATGTTCTAATCGCTCTAATAGGATATTATGGTCGACAGTATCGAACGCTGCACTGAGGTCTAGCAGGACAAGCACAGAGATGAGTCCACTGTCAGAGGCCATAAGAAGATCATTTGTAACCTTCACTAAAGCTGTTTCTGTGCTGAGCTCTGAAACCTGACTGAAACTCTTCAAATAAAGCCTCTGCAGATGATCTGTTAGCTGTTTGACAACTACTCTTTCAAGGATGTTTGATATAAAGGAAGGTTGGAGATTGGCCTATAATTAGCTAAGACTGCTGGGTCTAGAGATGGCTTTTTGAGTAAAGGTTTAACTACAGCCAGCTTGAAGGCCTGTGGTACATAGCCGATCATTAGAGATAGGTTGATCATATTTAAGATCGAAGAATTAATTAATGGCAGGACTTCTTTGAGCAGTTTTGTAGGAATGGTCTAACAGCAGTCCCTCGTTTATCACAGGAGTTATGTTCTAGAAATAGGCCGACACGCTTTTGAGCCAACTAAGAAAAGCCAGTACAGGAGAAATCTGCTCTCTCTTTCTGGTCCCTGTCAGGACTCTTGCTGCAGCATTTTGGATCAATTCAAGGCTCTTCTCTGTATGCTGCTGCCAAGTATCCGTCTCTGTATATCTGCAGACTTTCCCGTTGGTTTATTTTTATCTATAAATCTCTGTTTGGGCTGGTTCCTTCTTATCTGAGTGTCTATATGTGTTTGTCCCCAAAGCAGCAAAGCAAAAGGAAAAAATCCTTTTAAATATTCTGCCCTTGTTTCCTGTAAGGATCTACAGAAGAAGCTGAAATGATCAGAACTGGTTCTGATGGAGACGTTTAAGACTATCGTCATGGAGCTCTTTCCATCGGTGTGACTGCTTCTAATGATCTTGCAATCACTTATTTTTAACTGTATGTTAGAACCAGGACTTCTGCACTGAAGATCAGTTGCATTTGTTTATTTACTTCTTATACAATGTATTGTACTTGTTGTTGTTCAGTCTAATTGTTGAATGTTGTCATTGTGCTTCTTAAATTTGTAAACTCTTAGTTCGGTCTATAGGATCAAGACATTCCTGTGATCCTGACCCCCTCTCCAGCCACTCTGTGCTGGGGGAGGATTATTGTCAACACATCCCTTGTGAAGATTCTGTTTCTTGTGTTGTCGGCTTCCTGCCCTTTTGTGGCTTCACTGTGTTGTGCACGGTGAACCAATACAGGGATTAAACCATATATTGGGTGTGGGGGAGATTACCATTTTATGACCAGGATGTTGTTAGAAACAGTTGGAAGTCACGCACACACACACACACACACACACGTTCTTGCACATGCATACAGATGCTTACACATACACACATAGTGCCTTGTCTTAGAACCATTGGGGGGTTTCACGGTGGGAGGTGCTTGTGTTGTGTTGTGTTTTGTAACAGTTGTCAATAAATAGCTGCCAGCGAGCTGCTCTTTGAAGGACTTTGGGCTGGACACAGGTGAGGAGCTCCAAGAGCTGGTTCTTGACTAAAGACTTCCCTCGCTAGCGGGTTGAAGATGTTCTGTTAGTCTTCTTTTCTTCATGATGAATAAGTCTCTAGACCCTCACGGCCCCCCTCCTGGACCCCCTGCAGTTTGCATACAGAGCCAACAGGTCTGTAGACGACGCCATCAACATGGCCCTACACTTCATCCTGCAGCATCTGGACTCCCCAGGAACCTACGCCAGGATCCTGTTTGTGGACTTCAGCTCTGCCTTCAACACCATCCTTCCAGACCATCTCCGAGGCAAGCTTTCCCAGATGAATGTGCCTGATCCCATCTGCCGGTGGATCACTGACTTCCTGACGGACAGGAAGCAGCACGTGAGGCTGGGAAAGAATGTCTCGGACTCCCGGACCATCAGCACCGGCTCCCCTCAGGGCTGTGTTCTTTCTCCTCTGCTCTTCTCCCTGTACACCAACTGCTGCACCTCCACCCACCAGTCTGTCAAGCTAATCAAGTTTGCAGATGACACCACCGTTATTGGACTCATCTCGGACGGGGAGAGTCTGCCTACAGGAGGGAGGTTGAACGTCTGGTGTCCTGGTGCAGCCACAACAACCTGGTGCTGAATGCCCAGAAGACAGTGGAGATTATTGTGGACTTCAGGAAGCACACAGCCCACTCCCCCCCATCATCCTGACTGACACCCCCATCACCTCTGTGGACTCGTTCCGCTTCCTGGGTACCACCATCACCCAGGACCTGAAGTGGGAGCCCACCATCACCTCCGTCATCAAGAAAGCCCAGCAGAGGATGTACTTCCTGAGGCAGCTGAAGAAATTCAACCTGCCAACACGGACGATGATGCAGTTCTACACTGCAATCATCGAGTCCATCCTCACCTCCTCCATCACCGTGTGGTACGCTGGAGCCACTATCAGGGACAAACAGAGACTGCAGCGTGTTGTGCGCTCTGCTGAGAAGGTGATTGGCTGCAGACTCCCATCTCTGCAGGACCTGTACACCTCCAGGACACTGCGGCGTGCAGCTCGGATCTCAGCTGACCCTTCTCACCCTGGACACAGTCTGTTTGACCTGCTCCCCTCAGGCAGGAGGCTCCGGTCCATTCGCACCAGAACCTCTCGCCATAAGAACAGTTTCTTCCCCTCTGCTGTTGGACACATGAACAATAACCCATGACTGTTCCCACCACTAACACATGACCCTACGCTGTGTTCACTGCATCATTTCATGTTTGGCACTGATCACCACCTGCACTCATGTATATATCTACGTAGCACTTTAATTATTATTCTTATTTTTATTTTCATGTCTATTTAAGCGTAATTTATGACAGTATGTTTGCACTGAAGCACCGCAGCAATTTCCTAATGTTGTAAACCTGCTCAACATTTGGCAATAAACCCTATTCTGATTCTGATTCTGATTCTGATTCTGATTCTAAACTAGCGGGGCCTGTGGAAACACAGACCCAACAGTTGTAACTTGTCCTGCCGTCTAGGCAAGTTTTCTGCAGGAAAAGGGTCCTAATGTCAATGTAATGTTAATTCGACTTTATCTGGATAACAATAAATCAGGTAACACGAGAAGTAAAGGAATTGATGCTTTATTCTCAGTATGTCCTGACTGTGTAAAACCTTAGACATTCCTCAGATTACTAAATATTACAAGTAACAGTTAAAAAAGTGATCTGGGCAAAAAGTGCTTGAACCTCTGACTCACTTTGCAGATGGGCTGGTGAACCACATGACTGTGGCTCCTGTACTAGATTTTAAGCAGCACTTGCAGGAGTCTTCAGTCACTCCTGGCATGTCCTCTCCTCAGACTGTGAGTTTGGACCCTGATGAGCTCACACTGAGCTGCCTGCTGCCCACATAGGAGGAGGTAAGAGCCCGAGGCAGGTCACTGCAGGACTCCACTCTGAAATAATGAGTTAAGTTAACCTCCTGCAGTACTGCTAAAGAGCTCTAAATAAGCAAGTTTATAATTTAACAGCTGAACTTGAACTTTTATATAGTAGGTTCAGTTTCAAGACTCTTTATTCGCCACATGCATAGTTATACAAGTAGAACACGCAGTGAAATGTAACCTGACACGCTGCTCGACTTGTGCAAAAGGGGAGAGAAGAAGAACATTATATACTGCAAACAGTAGTAGCATGTATGCAGCAAGAATTCTGTACATTAAGTGAATTAAATTAGACAATATGAACATATTTAAAATTTAAAAAGAATTTGAAATGTACATTGTACCGATGGGTTTCTTCGGTCTAAAGCTGATTTACAGATCTCACCATTCTGCTCAGAATTTCTTATACCTTGAATTTGACAAACATAACAGGAGCTGAAACTCAGACTGTAACTCACCAAAACCAAAGTGACTTCAGGAGATTGTTAAACTAAAGAAAAGTAGCAGGAAGTTCTAACTACACTCACACTGCTGTGGACATCTTTCATTTTCTAAAGGTGAGAATGTCCTGATGGAACATAGTGCAGGTACGGCAGGTTTATCCGTACAGCAGCTTTCACACACGATTCAAAGTGCTTTGCAGAAAAAAACAAGAACCAAAAATAAAAGAAAGACGAAACAAAGGCAGAAATAATACTATTAGTAACAGCATCAACAATAAAAACAACAATAAAACAGCGATGGTGCAGATTTCTGATTAGTTAAAAGCAAACACTCAGTTTTGGTTGGAGACGTCAGACCTCGATGGTTCCTCCTTCAGTCGACTCTACACGATATAAAATGAGCTCCTTCAAATCTCACTGGGGCACAAAATCTGTCAGAGTAGTTGTATGTCTGAGACACCAACAGGCTGATTTATTTACAGCTCTAATAGGAACTCAGGTCCTTGTCCACGATTGTGGTTTTTCCCACAGGTTGACGTCTTTCGTGCCCTGGATTCAAGATGTCAACTAAGC